CCCTCTCACTGCAGTCAGGAATTTCACAGCAGAGCTTCAGGTCTAAACCTAGCCCTGGACATAGACAGTCTCTGCCTGCTTCACATACAAATGTGCAAGAACATTAAACTTAACATTAGCATTGTTGGTTATATTTTTTGCCATTATGAATCTGCATTACACATCAAGTGAGCAATTATTGACACCTTTTCATATTTACATTTCACAGTGCAACAAAATAAGGGTAGTGTGTGTGTTGCATGTTTTAGCAATTCAAATGATGCTGCCAAAAGGACCTCTGGTGGATATATGGGTAACTGCATCTCAATCAAGTTTTTGGTATGGAAAACATGTGGGGCTATGCATTATTATTAAAAGAAATAGCTCACCCAAAAATGAAAAATCGCTGGAAATTTACTCACTCTTAGGCCAACCAAGATGTAGATGAGTTTGTTTCCTCATTGGAACATATTTTGAGAAATGTATTATAACTTCACTTGTTCACACCAATGGATCTTCTGCAGTGAATGGGTGCCGTGAGAATGAGATTTTATCAGCTGATAAAAATCATCACAATAATCCACAAGTAATTCACACAAATCCAGTCCAAGTCTTTTGAAGCGAAAAGCTGTGTGTTTGTAATAAAGAAATCTATTATTAAGGCGTTTCAACATTTTTAACCATTGCTTCTGGCCAAAATACCAGCTATAATCCATAATAAAGCTTCCCTCAGTAAAAAAAAGCCCATCCCTGCTTGTCTTCAAACTGTTTTCACTTGTAAACAGTGCTTGATTTCTCTCCTGAATCAGACTAGATTATTTTTTCACTAGACAAAGCAATATTATGGATCGAGGACTCATGTTTTAGCCGGAAGAGTTTGAAGTTAAATACATATAAATGATGGAATTGTTTATTACAAACACACAGCTTTTCATTTCACAAGATGTTAATTGATGGAATCATGTGGATTACTTGTGGATTATTGTGATGTTTTTACAAGATGTTTGAACTCTCATTCTGACGGCACCCATTCAAAGCAGAGAATTCATTGGTGAGAAAGTGAAGTCAATTTCTCCAAATCTGTTCTGATGAAGAAACAAACTCATCTACATCTTGGATGGCCTGATGGTCAGTATATTTTCAGCAAATTTTCATTTTTGGGGTAAACTGTTCCTATAAAGACATATATGTCAGACAATCTCTTTAGTTCAATTTAGCACTTGTCTCACAAGCAAATACTTAAAGAACACAAGGGATATTACTCTTGTATTTTATGTCATAGAATAAAATGTGAATATATCTTGAGCTTGTGTGAACCACAGACATTATTTTTTAGGCATTTAACTAAAAACTCGACTTCAGGACGATGTAACCGGAAGTGCTAAAATGTTAACTCGTTCTGGGTTTTGACCTGTTTTTATTTGGTTTTTATACAGTCTATGGTTTTGACCTACAAAAATACGTCATCCATCCACACAGCACTCTATTTAGCCAGAGCCTGTTAAAAAATAAGTCCTTATTTTACAGAAACTAGTACAATAATGGTATAATCTTGGTGAGACAGCTATTCAAGAATAATGGACATCTCTTTAATTACTGTGAATTCCTTAATTATTATAAGATCCCTGTAACTGCTAAAGAGTTTGCAGTATATTTGATGCCATTCCTAGTGGCCTTATTCAACTTTTGTCTGGCAATAGTCTATCCCCTTATATACTAATCAGTTAAGTACAGGCCCGGACTGGCCATCGGGAGCACCGGGAGAATTCCCGGTGGCCTGGCGGCTGATTTGGCCCGCAGCCCTGTTTTTTTTGTTTGCTTTTTTGCAGCTATTATTATTATTTTATATGCCTTCTCAATGTACCAAAGTGATCATTTCCGATTTTTTCATTCGATAATAAATCATAAATCGGTTCGTCTTGACTGGCAGCGCTGCACTAGGCCTATAATCAGCTCACATCTGATCCGCGCTTCCGTCTAACGATTCCGAACAGAACCGATGCACGGGACTCGATGAAAGAGATGAAGCGGCCAGAAAAAGCAGCACTAGCAACATCACTGACCTGTTCAGGGCTTCAAGTGCAGGTCAGTTTAGTGAAAGTGACGTGACATGTGGCCAAGTATGGTGACCCATACTCGGAATTAGTTCTCAGCATTTAACCCATCCAAAGTGCACACACACACAGCAGTGAACACACACACACCGTGAACACACACCCGGAGCAGTGGGCAGCCATTTTTTTGCTGCGGCGCCCGGGGAGCAGTTGGGGGTTCGGTGCCTTGCTCAAGGGCACCTCAGTCGTGGTATTGAAGGTGGGAGAGAGCGCTGTACATTCACTCCCCACACCTACAATCCCAACCTTGGGTTACGAGTCCAACTCTCTAACCATTAGGCCACGACTTCCCCCGTAAATCTGTAAATTAATCTGTAAATACGCTAGATAGTTTTGTCTTTATTAACGTAGTTGAGTATTAAACTGCTAGTATCAGTACTAGCACCCCATTATTATCATCATTCAGAATACTGTGCTAAAGGACATCAATATCGATTGTAAAATTACATTAAAAATTTAGCAGAGACAGATATTCACATGCATTTATTGAACAGGGAGGGAGGGAGCTAGAGCAGACAGCAACTCAAAAATAATATGAGTCACAGCCTAATAACTCAATAGTGTGTTCAGTATTAGAATTTTTCAACAAATATATTGTACTAATTTTGACATTTAGGCACTTTAGAAAATGTGTTTTAATACACTACCAGTCAAAAGGTTTTGATCAGTAAGATTTTTTATGTTTTTAAAGAAGTCTCTTCAGCTCACCAAGCCTGCATTTATTTGATCCAAAATACAGCAAAAGCAGTAATATTGTGAAATATTTTTATTATTTAAGATAAGTGATTTCTATTTGAATATATTTTAAAATGCAATTTATTCTTGTGATTTCAAAGCTGAATTTTCAGCGTCATTACCCCAGTCTTCAGTGTAGTATATATAAACAGAGTAGATACTAGTGTATTTGAGTCATTTTAAGATAAATAACATTCTGTGCTAACAAATTGAAATGAGGTGGTTGTTTTGAACAAGGTGGACACAGTTCTGTTCATAACAGTAGACCTGCTGGTGAAGAAGTGACAGGTAACAAAAAAAGGGAGAGACAGTGATATTGGGGAAAATGAAGAAAGGGGAAAGGGAAGTGATGGTGCAGTGCAAGAGAGAACCTTTAATTATTTTCCACTGCCCCAGACTAAGGATTTAGACCTTTTTTATGTGATGGCCATACAAATAATAGGGTTGTCTGGTTTCAGAAATGGTTGTGGATGTATAGGCTATATACAGAAAAAAGGGGCCAAAATTGCACCTTTTGGGGTACAACAGCTTGTCACTGGAACAGTAACCTTAAAAGATATTAAATAAATAAACCCCTTTTTAACCCCTTATAGGTATGTATGCATACCACATTATTGCCAAAATGCAAACCTATTTGGAATTTGTTATATAATTGAATGGAAAGAGGTCTGGAGTTTACCTAATAAATATTGTCTCACCAATAAACTTACATATAAAGTTATTCATTTGATTTACCCAGTGAGACAAGTAGTTGCAACATTTTTTTTGGAAATATGGACAGACTGCATAAAACGCTTATTTTATGAAGGCGTATTTACCTATATGTTTTGGACTGATGTTGAATATCTAATATTTAAATTTAGCTACAAAATTAAGACTCTCTGGTAAAGATATATTTTTGTTGTAAAGTTTGGAGCCAAATTTGGTGATTAATTTAATACACTGAACAAAATTATAAACGCAACACTTTTGTTTTTGCCCCCATTTTTCATGAGCTGAACAAAGATATAAGACTTTTTCTATGTACACAAAAGGCCTATTTCCCTCAAATATTGTTCACAAATCTGTCTAAATCTGTGTTAGTGAGCACTTCTCCTTTGCCGAGATAATCCATCCACCTCACAGGTGTGGCATATCAAGATGCTGATTAGACAGCATGATTATTGCACAGGTGTGCCGTAGGCTGGCCACAATAAAAGGCCACTCTAAAATGTGCAGTTTTATCACAAAGCACAATGTCACAGATGTCGCACGTGTTGAGGGAGCGTGCAATTGGCATGCTGACTGCAGGAATGTCCACTAGAGCTGTTGCCCGTGAATTGAAACGTCTCCAAAGGCGTTTCAGACAAGGAGATGTGTTGCACTGCGTGAGGCAAATGGTGGTCACACCAGATACTGACTGGTTTTCGGACCCCCCCGGAAACCCCAATACAGTAAAACGGCACATTTTAGAGTGGCCTTTTATTGTGGCCAGCCTAAGGCACACCTGTGCAATAATCATGCTGTCTAATCAGCATATTGATATGCCACACCTGTGAGGTGGATGGATTATCTCGGCAAAGGAGAAGTGCTCACTAACACAGATTTAGACAGATTTGTGAACAATATTTGAGAGAAATAGGCCTTTTGTGTACATAGAAAAAGTCTAAGATCTTTGAGTTCAGCTCAAAAAAAGAAAAATGGGGGCAAAAACGAAAGTGTTGCATTTATAATTTTGTTCAGTATAATTATGTATGGGAAATACCATATACACAAACAAAAATGGACTAATAACAGACCTAACATTACATTATTTAAAACTGAACTTAAGCAGTGCATTGAGGCCTTAAAAGATCTAAGAAATAAAAGAGCAAATAGGACGCATCAAATTTTTGAATCCTTTTCTTTTGGAAATTTCTTGTACGTTATCCCCTGTATAGTTTTTAATAATATTTATTTATTTATTTTCTTCTTCTTTTTTCTGTTGGTTCCTTTGATGCTATTATTAATATATTTGATAATAGTTGAATACCCTGTGATCCTCTATACAAGTATGTTATGTTACTGTACTTCTTATTCAATAAGAAAGAAAGAAAGAAAGCCGAGATTTCAACCTAGCAGCATGATAGTAGCTAGATTTCAGAACCTATTGACTGAAGCCCTCTAGGGGCCGCTTTGGTTCACTGCGTCCCCCGCGGCACTGGAAAGGTCTGTGCGTCCTTCATGCGCATCTCAGCCTTACAGCAGGACCCACCTGGAATAACATTTCCAGTTAATTCATTTGATTAATTTGACCTCATAGTTGAAGTGCTGGGAGTTGAAAGAAACGTGAATCATCCTAAAATGATTTTGCTGATCCGGTGAATGCTCAGATGAGGTCAGTATATAGGAGGGGTGCAGACGGTCGCCATCAGTGTCTCTCTTTAACAGCGCTCAAGGAGAAAGCCTCAGTTCGTCTGCACTGTAATAGTGGAGAATGGCGTTTTCAAACCGACTATCTTCACCTGTCATGCCTCGTCTCTGAATGCGGTTGTGTGTGTATTTGTGGCGTAAGGGAGGGGTCCAGTGGGATGGAGCAGAGTTTCATGCAGTCCGCGATGGCAATGGGTGCACAGTCCAAGAAAGGCTTCTCCAGGAGCATCGCCGTGGAGAGAAAAAACCTCATCACGGTTTGTAGGTGAGTGAGAAGCCTTCAGAAGCCACATAACGTTATGTAACGTTATGCATGTTGCAACGTTTCTGGCCTTCAGCGGAGTCATAAACAGACAGGGATGCGTCCGAAAATATCATTTGCTCTTTTATTTCATTTAGGAAACGCGGCACTTCGCCTGTGTACTGCATGGAGAGGCTTGCTGAAAACAATATGTGTCGTTTTCACCATCATCTTAAAGAAATCTGTAGATTCGGAGTTACGTTTCGTGAGGTCTATGACCGACATACATCGTAAACACCGGATTGCTAAAGATCTTTAGTTCCGTTTACTTCGTTGTGTGAGTCTATAAGCTAATTATTAAGGGTGTTTTATTAAATGTGTGTACACAAATTATTTCTGAAACCTGGCATTTCACGCAATGTGAGTTATCTCCGTTCCCCGGATGATGTCGATGCTTCCTCCCGCTGACGGGGGCCCCTGGGAATCTGCTGTGCTCTACAGAGAATAGGGGTCACAATGATCCAAATATAAAATTAGTACTTATTATTAAAATGCTGACGAAAATCATTGATGTTTTGGATTCACTTTATGTTAGGTCAGTCTTTACATTTAAATGAATCATTTGAATTTGATACAAAACATTGTACTTATATTTAAAAAAATACATGTAATTCAAACTTGTAATTTTATTTCTGTAGTTACACATATGATTACACTGTAATACAATAGCAGCAAAGGCTTTTCAGTACAACATGTAGACTAACACAAGTATAAGTATAAGTGCATGGTAGTTAAGGCACCTAATATAAAGTTGGACTGAAGTTTTTCTCTCCAGCTTCTGGCTGTCATGTCATACTCTGCCAATTGTACTGCAGTGGAGGGCTGTACTGAAAGAGTCATTGTTGTGATCAGAACAATTGATGGTGAAGTCACTGCTGGTTTGGCATTGGCAGGAATAACATTGCTCCATGTATGATTATGCCATATTATGCGTTAAATGAAATTATATTTTGCCTGTCTGACACTGATGTACGCTGCAGAGGTGAACTGTGGCAAGGTGGTCCTGATATTCCCTGATTTTATGACATTTTATTGAATGTCTGACGGCATTGACAAAAAGTGGGGACGTAACTTTAAAATCTTATGAAACATGCATGTGTCATTAAAAAAACAACCTTGCTTTGATAGGAGATATTATTAAGTGTTGCTTTTGATAAAACAAGCTCTTTTTCATCATTAAATTTTTTTTATCCATTTTATTGCATATGAATGATTGAACCCTTCTCTGTGGACACACTGTTTTAGATGTAGTGAGAGGACATTAAGAAACACAGATTTGGTATAATAATGAGAAAATTAAATTGAAGGTGATAATTGTGTTAAATACATTCTATTATTAATCCCTCATGACATTTAAAATTGAAAATATTTGTATTTTTTAAAGCTAATAGCAGTTACCCTTGCTGGACCTGTTTTGTCCCACGTCTCAAGAATGACTAAGTTACAGTATATCTTCTTTCTAAAATGATGGCAACAGAATACAAGAAATATTATAAATTAAATATGATTATGTTTGGAAGTCACCTGTCCAGTGTATTTCTATGCCTGCGGCCCCAGACACTGGATTATGTTCCAGCATTCCCATGACCATAAGCAGAAGATTAGAATTTAGAATTGAGTCTTTAAACTGGGAGACTGATTGAAAACTGATGCTTTTGAATTTTAGCATCACACATATCCAGCTTCATATCTATGGGGTTTCATAGGCGGTAGGTTTGTAGACGTAGGCCTACTTAAGAGGTGAGGAGCTCCGGTTTGAATCCTGTGCAACTACAGTGCAACAAAACAGTTCAAATCTGCATATAAGGAAGTTCAAATAACACGGTTGCATCAACAAATGTGTTTTTATATCAGTTTTGCATTTGTTAACACTATCGGGTAGGTTTAGGGTTGGGTTTGGCGTAGGGCATATTTCCACCACGATAGAGCATTAACTTTTAGCGACAGTCCCCGGATATTTGAATTCTGAACCGCCACAATACGTACCTGAAGCAACGTAATAAAAACACAGCAATATATACCTATATCAAAGTAATAAAAACGTGCCAGGGTTCACATATTGAACCCGTGATTTAGTTCCACTCAGTGGACATTTCTCTTTGAAACTGCGGCGAAACGTGCAATAAGGTACGTAAAAACGGTGTTGCAGAAAAGTACCCAGAGGTACATATTTTTATGAGACCAGGTTGAAAAACTCATATAAAACATTATGTACTGTAATGTATGTCACTCAGTTGGAAGCAGTTATATTCATGACCTTTCTAAGGATTAAGTAAGTACAGTAGTTAAGTAGAAAATGGTTTAGTCATTTATCAGAAAATGGTTTAGTCATCAGAAAAATTCAGTTAGTGCATTGATCCACACAGTACAACGGAACACACACAGCTGCAAAGATCATCGGTGCCCCTCTCCCCTCCATCCTGGACATTTTCCTTACACGATGCTCCAGCAAAGCCAACAGTATCGTGAAGGACCCCACCCATCCCTCCCACAGTCTCTTCCAGCTCCTACCATCAGGAAGACGGTACCGGAGCATCAGAGCCCGCTCCGCCAGACTGCTCAACAGCTTTTTCCCCCAGGCTGTGAGAGCCCTGAACTCAAATCACCCCACCCTCCTCTGAAACCCCGTACAAACCCCCTACCTCCTGAAACATGGACCATCTCACCTCCTCCACCCCCCCAACCTTACCACATCACAAAAAACTGTCTGAAACATTTCTGAAACGATTCGAAGTGTGCTACAGGGCCTGTACAAACCACCTGTAGAAACACACTCTCCTCTATGCGCACTAGACACTTTTCACACACACTGCTTTGTGTACATAATCCCACAAAAGACTCTGTAATATGTGTGTTTACATGCTCATGCACTACAAATCATCTTGCACTGTTCCCCAGCCAGCTGCTTGACTTACGATGTTTCTCTTTGCACATGTACAGTATTATGTGAAGCATCCGTATAGTCTATTTTTTTAATTTATGAATAGGTAAACATTTATCTGCTCAACATTCATAGTCAAAATCAGTCAGTAGGCTAGTTGTGTATAGGTTTTACTGTTTTACTTCATTGTTGTATGCCTGTATTTATGTAGCACTGTGGTCCTGTGAGGCACGACATTTCGTTCCACTGTATGTCCCCACATGTAGCAGAATCACAATAAAGCTCAACTTGACTTGACTTGACATCATATCATCATTGGCTATTGCCTCACCAGTGCTTCCTAAGTAGACTTAGGGTATTAAAAATGTCAAATTTTCAAAGATTTTATATCTTATCTTAGTATCTGAAATTGTTTTAGTTAAATATACAATGTCTTAGCATGGACAAATGTAAAGAGATTCTCTTTGATGTTGATTGGGGTAATGATTTACCTATAGATTACCTTGTGAAACCAAGCTTTTTCTTTAAATTATCCCTTGTGAAAAGATAGTGCACTTGTATTGACTGTGGACTTGCAGTGTACTTGCAGATGATATAATAATACAAAATAATGACCACTTAAATGCACTTAAAGTGAGTGCGTTTTCATGATCATGTTTCTTAGCACATTTAAGTACACTTTTAAATAGTTCACTTTGTTAAAAATGTCAAATTAAAAGTTTGCATTTTAAATTATGTTTTAATAATCGTTGTTAAGACATTTATTTTGATGTGTTGTCTAACATACTAAAGCACATGTTATTATATGTTATGTTATTTGATCGTACATTTAAAGTTAATATGTTTTTAATGTACTAAATTGCAACTTCATCATACAAATATGTCATTACAAATATATTGAAGTACATGACAGTCAAGTTTCAATAGATATGACAATAAACACAACAATACTGTATTTCAAAGACAATAAAGACAATAAGGATATAGGCTAAGTCCTAGTTAATTGGGTCAAAAACACACTTAAGTTCAACTAATATGATTTGATAAAAAAAATATTTTACTCAATTGTAAATGAGATGCAGTTAAGTGTCTGAAAATATTACAATTTGTTTGCACCTTTTAGTAGTATGCTAAAGTGTACTTCTTTTTCACTTGAGATTTCAATCACGGTCCACAATACGTACAATATATAGTTGAACTTATTGAAAAAAGAAGACACTTTCTTGGATAGTGATGAAATCAACCGGAAAAACAAGTAGAGAAAAAATCCATATGGAATCAGTGGTGTTCTCTAGGTATTGAAGCAAAATGGAAACCAGGTAATTTTTTCCGTATTGAAGTACTTTGTAATTGTTTGTGTTTGTATGGCAGGTTTTCAGTGAAGACACTGCTAGAGAAGTACACAGCAGAGCCCATCGATGACTCGTCTGAGGAGTTCATTAACTTTGCTGCTATTCTGGAACACATCCTCAGCCACCGCTTTAAAGGTAAGAAAGTATTGCATTTTAACTGTACAAGAACATTAGGGACATATTTAAGCCAGTGATGTAAATGAAGGTGATCTCCCACATCACGTCTTTTGCAGGCTCTGGCAGCTGGTTTGATGGTCAGCGCAGTTTTTGGGACTTCATCCGTCTGGCCTGCAGTAAAGTGCTCAATAACTGCATAAGCAGCATTGAGAACATGGAGAACATCAACTCCTCACGAGCAAAGGTGGGAACACAAATATCTGTACTTAAAATAGTTCAAGTAGAATGGGTAAATAATACCATAATCATTAATGCTTCAATTTAATACACAAACAAAAAATCCATTGTACATTTTTGTGCCACAGTTATTGTAAGATAGAAGTACATTGGAGTACATTCAGTAAGGTTCGTACTCAAAGAGATAGTTCACTCAAAAATGAAAAATCTTCATTTACTTCATTTAAATCTTCAGTCTTCATTTACATGCTTTTCCAAATCTGTATGACTTTCTTTTTTTCTGTGGAACATGAAAGGTGATATATTGAGAAATGTCTCAATGGATTATTATAATTTTTTGCCCACATATTGGAAGTCAGCTTTACAAAAACTGTTAGGTTACCAACTTTCTTCAAAATATCCTTATTATAAATATCTTTAATATATTTTTATTGTTTTACAGAAGAAATGACATGAAGGTGAATAAATAAAGACAGAATAAATTGTTTTTAGATGAAATACTTTTTAGGAATTAATTAATTAAATTATTTATTTATTTGATGCTTGGGATAAAAGAGCATGATGTACATACAAAAACATAATGCAACATGCAGAACTCAAACTAGTCTCTTATTTGATGAAATAAAGCTAAAATAAAACTGTTTCGAACAGTTATGAACTTACAATTGAGAGAAAAAGAGATTGCCATGAAATAATAAAATATGATTGTTTTTGGCACCACCATTAAAATTGGACTTTTAAAATTAATTAAATACCATGGTATGTGAATATGAATATATCCAGGGTTGGAAGGGTTACTTTTAAAATGTATTCCGTTACAGTTACAAATTACTTCATTAAAAAGTATTCAGTAACGTAATCCAAGTACCACAATATAAAAGTAATGCAATCTGATTACTTTTGGATTACTTCAAGTTACATATGTAAATAAGTAAAAAAAGCAATATCTAAGTACTTTTATTTAACTATGACTTTATGATCAAATTAAAACAAATAAAAACGACAGTAAAAACTATTTGAATAATTGTAGATGGGTGTTATTTGCACACGCGCCAGCAGGCGGCTCACGTGAGTCAACGTGTCAACAGAACAGAATAGTTCCTATGCAGCGCTAAATAAATAGCGTTATGTCAAAATACTCATTTATTTCATTTTAAATGAAACATATGTAATCCTGATAGTATTCCCACTTTTTACAAAATGTAACTGTAATCTGAATACTTTGTTTTTTGATGTAACTGTAACGGATTACAGTTACTAGATTTTTGTATCCTGATTACGTAACGGCGTTACATGTATTCCGTGACAAAGTACAGTAAGTTTTTGTTATGGTACTATTTTCTACATTACTGTTTTTAATTTTAATGTATAAATAATGTATTTTTTACAAAACAAAAGTTGTTACAAAAATGTTACAGAAAACTCTTAGTACAGGGGAAATTTTCATTTTGGTGAACTGTAAAATTGTAGAGTTTTCTTCAAAAAATATGATTTTGGTATGTTTTATTCTCATTTGCAATTAATGGACTCTCTTTAAAATGGTTCATTAATGTTTCTGCAGTATATGCATATAGATGTTTGATATGGTTTGTATGATGAAGCTTGCCTTGATTTGTGATTTATCCGTGTATTTAGGGCAGAGCATGGCTACGGGTTGCACTGATGGAGAAACGGCTATCTGAATACATCGCCACAGCTTTGCGAGATAGCCGCACCACCAGGTCAGACTGAAAGAGAAAACTCAATATTAATCAAACTACCAATATGATCCTTTTATGCTGTCACACCCAGTCATCAATACACATATCCAGTGTAAGCATAATAATTGAGACAGCCATTACACTACTGCACTATCGAATACATAAAATGGTGCATCTATAATGTAACTGTGTTTATGTATTGCATGTGTGTGTTTGTCTACAGGCGGTTCTACGATGAAGGTGCCATAATGTTGCGAGAAGAAGCAACTGTTTTGACCGGAATGCTCATCGGACTTGGAGCAATTGACTTCAGGTAAGAGAATGGGAAATAGAAGGGGTAATAAAACTACATAGCACACAAGCTATGTTTCAAAACCAACTGAAATGGAACCTCATAAGTGATTGATTTGGAATTTTTTTTAAATAGGCAGAAACTCTGCACACCACACTCATGTAATGCATATGATATTTTAATGCAGGTTTTGGAACTGAGCTATAATGTTATGCAATGTAATCAGCGTAATCCTTGCTGTTCTTTGTTTGTTGTCAGTTTCTGTTTGAAAGGGGAGGCTCTGGATGGGAAGTCTGAGGCTGTTATTGACTACACTCCTTATCTGAAATTTACACAAAGGTGAGGAACATTTATTTCTTACAGTATAACACTGGGGATCTTTCAGGGAATGGTGTGGGCTTTGATGTTTAGATTTGATTTATATCTCTTTATTCTAGGGCTGCATTATTAATAAAATTTTAATCATATTGTTATTGTTCTCTCGATTAATTATGCATAATCATTGGAACTATTTTTGCACTGGTTATTTATTCTTAAAACGTTGTTTTCATTTGACATTTCCATTAACCTGTGTTGTTAACATGCATCCACATGATTGGGGTTGCCAGATATTATGAGTTTAACCCCTTAATTTCTCTTCCCAATCTTCCTATTGATTTTTGAGAGAAGCCTCTTACAGTTTTACCATTTTTTATAATGTAGATAGAGTAGAGAGTCAGTTATAACCATTATTGTGCTGCCATACTGTATACTAATGGAATGCTTGATATTTATATGGTTTCCTGAAAGAAAGAAATATTTTCTGTTGCTGCTAATACTGCATTATAGCGAGTAAGCGGTCAACTGATATCAAATCTGATCACATTGGAATATTAATAACATTTTATTATATAAGAAATACACAAAAATTGTTAAAATGTAAAGTGTGATTTAGTAACTGTTCAGACATATTCAGCAAGTTTTTGGTTTAACTGATTCAAACTGATGACTCATGAGTCATTTTGACCTGGTCAGTGCTGGTCAAACTGACCAAAATCAAGTATTGCTGCTGCTCTGTTTCCATAGCAATGAGATGTTGTGTTGTGTGTGGTTCAGTTATGATTACCTTAGTGACGATGAGGACGGTCAGAGCGTGGACAGCAGTAACAGTGATGACAGTATTGAGCATCCGTACATCCCTCTGATCACTGATGAGGAGAGCTGGAGGAACAAGTGCCGCAAGATGGAGCAGAGGTTCAAGATCGTCAATGCGCAAAAGGTTAAACACACACACACATACACATACAGGACAATACAAGATTTACTTTAGTGGGTACGTTACTCTCAAATGAATATGTCATGTGCTAAAGTGTGTGCATTTGTATTATTTGTGTTTAGGGGTACCTTGAGGAGCTGGTAAGGTTGCGGGAATCTCAGCTGAAGAATGTGGAGTTGGAGAATAAGAAACTAACAGCTGGACTAGAAGAACTGCAGCTGCAGAGCCAGAAAGAGAAGAGAGAACTGGAGAACATCATTCTGGAGCTGCAGGAACAACTGTGAGAGAAACACACCCACACACCACTGATTCTTGAGACATGGGAAGTTTATGGAATTATTTTAGATTAAACTGTCCAGACATAGTCATTTGGTTTCTTCCTTTCTTCTATGAATGATTCCGTATGTATTAAAGGGGTCATATGATGCGATTTCAAGTTTTCCTTTCTCTTTGGAGTGTTACAAGCTGATTGTGCATAGATAAGATCCCTGAAGTTGCAAAGACTAAAGTCTCAAAACCAAAGAGATATTCTTTATCAAAGTTAAGACTCTGCCACGCCCCCCTAAAACGGCTCGTTCTAACACGCCCCCACATATCTAGGTCACTATGTGGAAATATTAGCATAATGCCGCCCAAATGTTCACGCAAAGAAAGAAGGCGTGGTTTCAGTAACTGCAGTTAGTGTTGAAGCAGTCATGTCAGGGAGACACTGTGTGTTTCTAGGCGAAAGCAAAAGCACTTTATTTGGCCTTCCGAAAGTAGATGCATTTAGGAATCTTTAAGATTACTTACAACAGAACAGCAATGCATTTTATGGATGACCGTTTCGTGAACCTAGGAGAGGAGGTAATTCTGACTTTGCTATGACAATCTGGCGCTTCTGAATCAGCTACTGTTTTGTTATTAGTTTAAGTATTTGCTATTGACTGTTCAAATGGGCAGTGAGAGAGATTATGAGCGAGAGAGCGAGAAAGAGAGAAAGAGCGGGGGGGTCACATCACAGTGGTGTCAGCTGTCTTAACCGTGACCAAATAATGATATTTAAAAAAGCATCATATGACCCCTTTAAATCTGTCAGATTCAAAAACATGTATCAATGTTATAAATTGATACAAATATACAAATAATATTTTATCAAATAAATATTTTCATAGAGAATAGAGATTTCATATTCACTTAGCTTCATCTATTATGTTAACTTTTTTTTTTTTACTATTTGTGTGAAAAATTTCAGTAACATTTTAAGTTAAAGAGGACATCGGATGCCCATTTTCCACAAGTTGGTATGATTCTTTTGAGTCTTCATGAATAGTCTATAACATACTTTTGTTAAAATTCCTAAACAATAGTGTAAAACAACACCCTTTTTACCTTGTCAAAAACAGCTCTGTTCACAGCGACCCGTTTCGGTGCATGTCCCTTTAAATGATAATGAGCTACTGCTCACCGCACCCCTCTCTTCCGTTCTTGCATTAAAGTCACCATTATTTTTCATGCAGTTATAACTCCTCAAAATGATTTAAAATACATTTGTAAATGACTTATTAGTTATTAGGTTTTGGGAGTCCCCAACAACAGGTTGACATGCATGCAAGGTCAAAAAACACATTAATTGTCTTATAATATGCATTTATGTTTGCCTTACTTGATCAACGACTCCTAAATGATTCGCTCAACGATTCATTTTTCCAAACCCCTCCTTTGCGTGATGCTAATAGGCGGTGATTGGTCCGATTGGTCTCATTTTCATGTCATCATGCCTGTAACGCCTGATAAAGCAGCCTTTGTAAGCGCAGTGCTGCTTTGTGTACAGCGTTACCGGGGAAACTGCTATTTTTACCACACCAAAAGCAGCACTTAGTGGCAAAGAATGAATTTGCATTTTCATTCAGACCAACACGAAAAGACCAACAAGTGGCTGGGCAATATGCTAATGTTTCATGTTGATGTCAACATGAAACGGCTTGGGATTCGTTTTAAAAACGACTCGTTTCAATGATTCAGAGTTGACTCTTTCTTTTGAGAGACAATAACTTTATACACGGTGCACTTTCAGATTTAAAACTTTGCAGGATGTTTTCATTCACTAATTTTCAAAAATCCATAATAGGGGCACTTTAACAAACACCTTTATAAACCCTCTACAAAGGTAGTGTTTCCATGTTATCTTTACAGAAAACGTACTCAGTTTGTAATAAGACAATCACCTTAATGCAGTTTTCATTATAAACGTGCGGTTATGAATTATATTGAGAAGGTTCTAAACAGAAATGATGACATAATGTTCTCTGAGACTGTTAAAGGTGGGGTAAGTGATTTCTGGTAGCCTATGTTGATATTTGAAATCACCAAAACAAACACGCCCCTACCCTAAAAGGGTCTCGCCCCTATTGTGAAAGCTCCGCCCCACACATACGTACGCAACCCAGGCAATGATTAGTTCTGTGAAACAAAGCAAAACCAATGTTACACGTGTCTACACTGGACGCGAGCGGTGCGACAAAATACTATAGAACTCAGTATAATCAGTGATGCTGTCTACACTGGATGCGACGTGGCGCGGCGCGACACGACAAATCCCCGACAGAAAACTGCTGCTGTGTTCTATTTATGACGTATTGACACAAATTTCAAATGATTTTCAACGGTCGCTTTATCGTGTCCAGTGTAGACAGACTTTAGCTGTTGCGGTGTGGCGCGACATCTGTCACGTCCGGTGTAAACACAGTGTTACTCACCTATCTAAGTCACACCTCTGTTTATCAATTTGCACTGGCTACCAATAGTTGCTCCCATAAAATTCAAGGCATTGATGTTTGCCTACAAAACCACCACTGGCTCTGCACCCCTTTACCTAAATTCATTACTTCAGACTTATGTGCCCTCTAGAATAGGGGTGTCAAACTCATTTAAGGTTGAGGGCCGGGTCTGAGAAAATGTCCCCTTGTGCGGGCCGAATGACCTTTTGTTAAACTCTAGTTTGCTCACAATTACATTAATATTAACCATACAAACTACAATATAATAAAATAAAAAAAATCTAGGACAACTTTTTTTTTTAAAGATGATGCTTGGTTATTTTAGGGGTGTGCAATATTGACACAAAATGTCTTTTTTTTATAGTGATAATTACCATATTTTGCAGAGTGTGTTTTTGAGATACCACCTTGGTTGGTTTAAGCCTGTAATGGATAAATAAATATGACACTAAAGCCGCCAGTAGGTGGCAGCAAGTCGTCTTAATGAGTGATCCATTGACTCATTCATTCAAAACGGCTGATTCGTTTAGAAACTAAGCTAGTGATTGTCTTTATGAATGGGCCACTGAATCATTGACTCAAATAATTTGTTCAAAAACAGATTAATTCAGTAACAAAATATACAGTGCTGCCTTGGAGACACACAACTGGTTTTACTTCGGCTTTGTTAAAAAATTTTCTTGCCAAAACAGAGATAAACAGACAGCATTGTGACTAATATAACACACTTAATACTAGTGTCTTGTTTGTTGAGCTGTTATATAAAAT